AGAGAGAGAGAGAGAGAATTAATCAGAATGAAAGAGAAACAAAGACACACAGCAGATGGTCATGCTACAGAAAATCAGCATACCTGCACGACACACCCAGAACACTGGATGTTTGGTTTCGGCACTTTCCCTCCAAGTCCAGCCTTCATGCGTCCACAAGGCCTGTTGGCTGTACCCTCCATCCTTCACAAACTCCAGAAACTCTCGGTTAGTCACAGGGAACTGGTTTGCCTCGAAAGGAGGAACACTGAAGTATAATAAATATTATTTATTTTGGGGTATATTTTATTAGAAGTTCAAGTGCGTTTTTACACCCAGGTTGGATTGGAGTTCCGGTCTCGGTTTATTGGGAACTTGCCATAGTTTAAAAAGACACCAGTCACAGAGCCACTATTGTAATTCAACCAGCAAAGAGGATAAAATAGGCTGTGTTATAAAGATTCTAAGCAAATACAGAAACGCAATATACCTTACCATTAATTACCACACAAGAGCATACCATACTATATCAAATCATTATTACCATGACATATCATACTATTGGTGATACTGTTTCAGAGTCTCAGAAGTACTAGATATAGTGTTTGTGTTGCAGTGGTTAGGAGATGGTCCGTCCCTCGCAGTAGATCCGAGTTCGATTCTCGTGTACGCTCGTACAGAGAAATTGTGTCGAATACCTTAGTTTTTCTGCTGAGACATTGTATCCTTTTCTTTCAGCCCAGGTTTGCCCTTACAGGAAGGGTTGAAGCCCGGCTCCTAAAGGATATAAATTGTTCTAGTGGATGCGCTAAACACTCCAAAGAACATTATTTCGGCCCTCACTGTGTGGTGATCATTGCTCTGTCTAAGATCAGTAGTAATTTGACCTTGATCTGGTGGACATGAGTGCTTGCCTGAACTTGACTACCTTCACAACGTCACGCCCGAACGGACAAAAGTAAACGTTAGCCCCCCCAGTCGAAAATTACTTTACCTATACACATCTGGGCAGCCATGATCTCATGCGTTAAGGATATTGTTAACTCATTTAAAGAATGAGGGTTGAAATTTGAGTTTACAGTGATGTTTTATAATAATAATAATATCATCAATGTCTATATCTTTATACAATCAGCACACAGACGTTCAGGTACACTAAGCCTAGCCTGTATGTTTGGGGGAAAGGAAGAAAGAAGGGGAAAGGGAGGGGGGTGCGCTGAATAATTGTATTGTCATATCTCTGAAGCAGAAAGTCCGGGTTCGAGACTCGGTTCGGACACGTGTTTTCTTCGCACCCTCCTGCCCACCCAGCAGTAATGGGTACCTGACTTCTAGTTGGGGAAGTAAAGGCGGCGTGGAAAGGAACTGGCAACCCTACCACAATATGCCGAAGGCCCAAGAAGTTGTCTCACTAACAACGCAATCCCCAATGTCCGGATTGAATGCGGGAACAACTTTATTTTTTACATATCTCACAGTGGTTATTGTCATCATGGTTGTGATAAAGCGATCTGTACATCAGCCCAGTACTGCTTACCTCCACGAGTCATGGCCATAGTCGATGTCCCAGCCGTACGATGGGTGGTTGGAGGGCTTTCCAATTTCCACCACGGTAGTTTCATTTTGAGCCAGCATTTTGTTCTTGACTACCGGTTCACCTAAAATAGGAACGCTTTAATATTTACCGAGATGTTAAAGTGAACAAACACTTCGGGGTTTTTTTGTCTCCTAAATTGTTAACTCCTTATGTTTGCATAGAATAAATATAGATCGTTTCTAATTCTGAACTCCGCAGAAAGAGATCTTAAATTCTAAGAATATCTTACCTGAAGAGACTTATGGCTCTTCATTTTTGTCGTTACGGTAGACATACTTTAGGATTAATTTTTGGGTAATCACGATAAACAAAAGTACAAGCAAGAGATACCATTTAAAAACATAATTTAACAAGTTGCAATATGATTTAGGTGCAGGCCAACACAAATATGTGTGCTTCAGTATAGAGAAACAGTACTGGCTATTTGGTTCCAGGCAAGAATAGGACAGATAGGGAGGAGGGGATGGGGGTAGGGGGGGGGTAGGGCCCACTAGTGAAACAATCAAACAAAAAATGTGTGTGTTTTGTTCAAACAATTAAAAATATCGAAAACAGAAAGCTCATGGGTTTATTCTGGTAATTATAATAGTACTGTAGTATATTATTATTGTTTTAGGAGGAATAAAATGATGACCTGCGTTCAAGGGTCCGTACTTCCAGCCGTCTGGTTTGCTGACCATGTCCACGGGCAACTGCCGAATGAGCACTGATGACGTCTCCACGTGCACGCGCTCGTGCTCTATACCCATCATCACTGCCCACTAGAAGGGGATAAGGGGGGAAGGGGGGGGG